ACGCCAACATGGACGTATGCAATCGAAGTATGGGGCACCGCATCCAAGCACCAGCTAAACCGAGTAAGGGTAGTACAGGCACGTGCTGCTCGACGGGCATCCGGGCTTCCCTGGTATGTCAGAAACCAGGCCATCCAAAACGACCTACGCCTTGTTCCTGTGGGCGACCTCCTAAACCAACACAGCCGGCGTTACTCGGATAGGCTAACGAGCCACCCAAATCCACTGGCAGGCAGGCACATTAAAACAATCAATAAATTTATTAGTTAGCTTTAATTGTCTTAAATAATTAGATTTAAATAAATAATATGTTAGTTTCTTATCTAAATTATGTTATTATAGAATATTGTATCGCCGACATCCTCCTCGAAGAATCTGGCCAGAAATTTTCCACGCCCTTCGGTTCCCAACTGCCCTCGTTGATCGATGAATCCTAAAAGATATAATAAATATTTAATATATATAAGAAAGTCTTATCTTAAGGAACTACTGGTTCGTAGGTATGCCACTTATAAATATAGTGAATCTTGGTCAAAACAAAAAAAAATAAAGCCAAAGGTTAAATCTAAAAATATCTGAATTGCCCAATTACTACCTGTTTTCACAGTTGTCGGTGCGTAAAAACTCCTCAATCACTTCCTACGGATCTCAGGTGCACTTCTAGGTGGAAATTGACATCCGGCCCTGTGATGCAATACCCAATACTTTCAATACATAAGAACTAAGCTGTTCGATAATAATCTGTATTTCAATCTCGGTTGTTTTTAATAAAAATCGTGGCTGAATCCCTGACCCTCCTGGTTTCCATTTTAGTTTAAAAATTCGAGATCCTGGAGGACAATAAACGACATTCGTGCTACGTAATTACAGCAGATTGAAATGTGTCCGCCACAAAGGTGATAAATCGCACATCGTGGATGCTGATAAGCGTTCCTTTCGGGCGTATTTCTTTTTCCCCTTTTTTTATGTGCATAGCGGAAATGCGCACTTGCAAAAAAGTAGAGCCCTGCGCCTTTGTTGACTCACTCGCTTGTTTGCCAGCCTGTTTATTTGCCTGCTTGGCTGTCAAATCAATTCGAGACCCGAAAAAATGTGCACCACAGTGGGGCCAAACTGAAGGTGTGGCCCCGGCTTAGTGGGCGATCCTGCGAGACTCCACTGTCCCAGGTTTTCCACAGCTTCATTAGTTACCCGTGCGCACTGTTTGCACGCCTCTTTGAACGAAACTGCACAAATGAGGTTCTAAAACATTGGCAGCTCTCAACAGCCCAAAAAGGATTAAAAGAAAAATGAACGCTCAAAGGCAATTTAATGGTAAAATTTTAAGTTTAGTTATTGGAAGTGCATCGATAGGTAAATAAAACTCTGCAGAAGGAATCCTTTCGAACGGACAACGAAATTACTGAATGGAAAACATGCGTATTAATGCTGTAAACAGAAACTGTAGCTCGCAAAATTAAGATTGTAAATTATTCGATGAATTTTATTCTATAGGCTAAATGGAATATTCCAAAGCGGTAACCATCTCTGTGGGTCCATATCTCATCCGCTCTGGACGGGATTGAAAGGGCTCAGTTGTGAATCCGATTGCGATTGGAGTTTTGACAGCGATTCCGCTCTTTCGTTTTTAGTATGGTGCTAAATGGGATTTTATTTGGACAACGCTGCATAATAGATGATATGATATAATATGATTTGCCTACACAAAACGAAAATCAAGCCACTGCCACTCGACAATCAACTTGTCCATAATACATGAGCTTTTCGTGGAGTGTGGGAAGCCTGGTGTCGGCAATCAGTCAAATGTAATAGTAAATAAATAAATAAATCAGGAGCAGGCACATAAACAACGGCTCTCGCTGTTAATGGCACACAAAAGGAGCAGTCGAGATTAGAAAGCACAAATAAAAAATCAAAAATAAAAATGCCAAGCGTGACATATTGTATACTCGTATCTGCTTTTCCTGATTAAAGGGGATTAGAAACGCGAAACTAATATACATTGTAAACCAAACTCGAATAGGAAACTTTTTTCTGATAAATGAAACAAAAAATAACTACAGAAAAGAAGTGTTCTTAAGGAACAAAAACTAGTGACATGTTAGGAATTATAAAAACACATCACATCCATATTTTGATATCCTTGGCGAAAGGCACCATCGAGTTTGGTGTCGCAGAAATCAAACCCTCGGAAAATGTGACTTATGCCCCCGGCTCGGGTTCGAAGGTCCTGGGGCCATTAGCAAAATCAACAGCCACACTCAGCCAGCCATTCACTTGTGCACCCATTCACCGTTTAGTCGGCAAATAAGGACACTCGCAGTTGCATTCACACTCGTCCGAAGAAATGGGCACTCTGTCCCACTTGCACTCGCATCGAGGGCCCGTCGCCCCCTCTCTTTCGCTCCGCGTGAGGCCGTCTCTTTCTGCAGGACTCGCTGCGACGCCGTCGATGTGGAAAATGTTACGCTACAATTTAATTGAAAGGATAATCAGGCGCACAGCGGACGAGCGTTATGTGAGGAGCGCACTCATTCAAATAAAAACCGATGCGAGAGCGAGCGAGAGGGGGCGACGGACGGACGGGCATTAGAGCGAGACGGGGCGATGGGCACGGACAAAAGGCAGCGCTAAAAGCTGCAAATGAATGAATGAGGCGAATAGAAATAAAATAGCAAACGGTGGCAGCACAACATCGGCTTTTGTTGTACCCGTCAAGTGTCCCTTTTGATGACGACGACACACAGCAAGGCGACGACTCGGAGGACGAACAAGGACACTGCAAAAAAAAAAAAAAGGGGGTCACATTAGGCCAAAGTTATTTTACATCTGATTTAAGCAAAAGAGAGAACATAAAAAGTGGCAGAATTTGCTTAAGAAATTTTATATAAACTAATGAAGCTAAAAATTGCAAATTTATGAATCTAGACACCTAAAAACTTTTTAATAAAACTTCTGTAAATACACAAAATAACATTTGTAAAAAATAGATTCTAGATTTTTTTAAGTTGCAAAATATACCTATAGTTATCATGAATTCCTTACCTATATTTTAACATGCGATTAAGACAGCTTTGTTATAATTTTTCCCTCACCACAAGCTGCCACCCTTTTCGCTCAGTGTGGCTTCGGGGTGGCTTTTGGTAGACCTCGCTTGTGGCCGGGTACGTGAGCCCACAACGTGGCCGGCTTTGCTTCCTGCCGCCCGATCCTCGCCAGAGCCAGGGCCAGAGCCAGAGCCAGAAACCAGTGTCCTGTGGCGCGGAAGGTCCTGCGAAGGGTTGTCAACTGTGAGCTGCAAGCAGAGAATAAAATAAAATAAAATATAAAAAGGAAAGGGGGTCGGCGGGGCGGCGATTGGCAAATGAAACTCGAATGAAATAAAATTAAATGCGTTGCACAAGTTGCAAATGCGAGCGAGCAACAATCAAAAGGATTCACGCTGCGTGTCCTGTTCTCCGCTGTGAAAAATGTAATTTTAATCGAATTCACTCACCCTTTCACCCCTTCCCCTTCCCCATTATAGTTTTCCGTTTTTCCCTCCAAGTGCTAACCGTATTAGAGCAACTAAGTCCCGATCCTTTCCTGATTTGTGTTGTGCCAACAACAGTTGCCCAGTTGCTGAGTTGCTGAGTTCCTCAGTTTGCCGAGTGTTTCGAGTTGACGCAGCGGGCACCGCCGGAGGCCAAAGGCATTCTTCCGCGAGAAATGCAATTAACTTGGCCAACGGCAACTAACCCCTTGTTTGCCCACATGGAGGGTTAGAGGGGCAGGGGCAGTGGGAGGGGGAAAGGGAGAAGGAGAGGGGGGAGGGACTGCCAGCATCCCCCCGCAATTAAAACAAAAGGCAGGAGTCGCTAATTAACATTGTTAGCATTAGCGCAGCTCGGAAAAACAAACGAAAAAGTGAAGCCAGAGTGCCCAAAAAATCGGGCGGCAGTGGGTAAACTTTGACCTTTTCGGCGGTAAATCCCCAGTCCAAGACGAACCATCGATTCCCTGCCGAAAGTTCACTACTCTCTTAATTAACATTAATTCGATTTTGCACTTGTTAAACTATTAAGTTGAATGTTTGCAGCAAAATAAATATTATGAAAATACTTTTGATACAATTAAAACTACTTAAAATGAGTTCTAGGTAATATGAATTTTAAGTTTTAAGCTTTTACTCCTTTAACACTGAATATTCGAATAGAACCCAGCACATATTCAAATGAAGCATTATGATTCTGCTTGCTAAGCCCTGATTCTGATCCTATTTACCCAGCGATTTGCCCCTTTGCTCCGCAACTTTTTCTGTGGCATCATCAGCGACATATGTAAAATTAAATATTGTTTATTGCCAGAGCTAACCCGACCTTTGGCCCCGTATTAATCAGCCTTCTGTGTACCCAGTCCCCCTCTCTCCCCAAACAGTCACTTGTTTATTTATCGACTTGCCAACCGTTTTGCACGCCGAATTCCCCTTTTTCAGTTTTTTTTTTTTGGTTCGTGTGGCAGTCACTTGTTAAACAGAATGAAAAAATAAAAAAAAACGAAAAAAGGGGCAACATTTATAGCTAATTTTCTTGTCATTGTTTTGACTTTTACACCTTCGCTGCCGCGTGTTTACCTCTGAGTTTGTTGGCGAGGGGGGAAATTGGGGATTCGGAGCACTCGAGTGGCGTCGTCGCATTGTTTGGCCATGTAAAATAATATTGTATTTGGGCTGTTTGCCTGCGCAACTTGGCTAATGAAGGGGGTGGTGTGGGTGCATCAGTGGTGTACATATGTATACTTTATAGATTCCTTGCTAAAAAAAGGGGTTTAAATGTCGGCGAAGCCCCACAAGAACATGCGAGTATGATATGCAGTTTTGTGGCATGTTCTCAGGAATTTCCATTTATTTTAATTTCCTATAAAGTTGATACGGTAATGTTAAATATTTAATTTTAATTTTGTGGATCAGTAGGCTCTGAAGTTTAATTAATCGTATTAGTGAAAAGTCAACTGTTCAACAACTTCAGTATTCTTTGTTCGTTCGACTTAACAAAACCCAGTTATTTTCTTTCCGATTTTAGATCAGTTCAGTTTTGTTTAACACTTATCGAATTGTGACATAACAAGAAGTGGTGCAAAATTGGCGAGTACAAAATGTTCAAGCGACTGCGCAGCCAATTGAAGAAAGCGGCATTGAATCTGATGGCAAGTGAGTACCTAATGGGATCACAAAACTTATATGTGTATATGAAATACTTACTCTACTGGCAGGTCGTGGAAGGGACATCCTAAGCCGCTCCGTCGCCTGGCAGAAGGATGATCAGCTGGAGGCCGCCCAGCGAATGGCGGAGCGCCATCGGCGGGATCGCGAGCGTTTGGCGGAGCGGAATCGTGAGCCGTGGTTCGAAGTCTACAAGCGGCACAGTGGACAGCAGGCGAGCAGCAGAAGATCGCCACGGGAACGATTGCAGCCGCTGCAGAGTAGGCAGTTTGCAACTACCCCCTCCTCCTCCCCTTCCGCAACCTCCTCCACCTCTTCCACCTCCCCCTCGAATTCGGAAACCTTCGACCTCCCGCCCGATATCTCACCCATCGAACTGTGGCGCCAGCGACAGCAACTGGAGAAGCAGCGCGAGGAGCAGCAGCGCCAGGAGGAGCAGCAGTTGCAGCGGCTCAAGATGAAGCCAGTGCGCCACCCGCAACCACCGCCGGCTGCCCGCCGACGCACCACGCCGCTCACTTTGGCCATGCACCCGCTGCAGAGGGCAAGGGTCATCTCGGCTTTGACCAAGAGGCAGCTGCACCGCTTCCGGCAGCGCAAGTTGCTCCTGGATGATCTTCAAAATTAATGCACTCGAAATCTCAAAAATAAATCAATTGCAACAATAAGATTTTAAAAAGAAAACTAAATTACCAATAGGATGTGAAAGCAAACTAAATGTAAAACTAGTGAAAATGTGTTAAAAACTCCCATAATAATAATTATTTTATTGTGTAGAATCAACTTTATTTCAACTTTAAATGATTTCCAAATTTTTTTTAAGATTCAATTTGATTAGATTATGCAACAAACGAAAGATACAGATCGCTCCCAAAAGACATATCTCTTGACCATCTCTCGACCAATTCGAGCACTCTTCACAACTGCTATTTACATAAACACAGGGAAAAAGGAGGAAAATGTGACACTTGACAAATTTGTAGGATTCAGACTGGCGCCACTCTCCGTTTTCAAACTGATTTATGGGCACGTTTTGTAGTTGAAAACCGAACAGCAGTTCTGCCATCTTGCATCTTCGATCTCGATCCGGATCGGGCCAAATTAATGCGAAGCACTTTGCAATTGAGTTGTCAAATGCGGGAAAACAAGTGGCACCTACGGGGAAATAGGATAGCCGTAATTGAACACGAAACCGAGACTCGAGGCTCGAGAGGCAGGAAAACTAGAGCCCATTTCCAGCTTATTACTCAATCAATATGCTCATTTGTTTTTCTTTTAACTGGAAGCAGTTGTGTTCTCCGAGGGTCGAACGTAGGATGTTGCCTGTTTTGACAGCATCCTCGGTGTAATTGGAACTCTAGTTTAGTCCAAGATATCCCTAGGATCGTTGATCCCTGATCTCGGGGGTGCTGCTTTTGGCGCGTCCTTAGCCGGCGATCAATTTCCATTTGCAGTTCGATTTACCCAATGATGACTATCTGACCTACTTACTACCTGATCTATGTAGTTAACAATCCACGACAGCTGCTCTGATTTGGCAACTGTCGTTGCGCTCTTATCGGATTTTATCGTTTAGTTTTCTTTAAATGTTACTGCTCTAGTTTGTGCACTCAAAAAAATAGATTATGATAGTGCGTCGTATTTGTATTGCATAATTTTAAGGCCACATATTCTTACTGGTATTTGCTGCTAATATCAAGGCTTCTTTAATTATTTTTGTTACTTAGGGAACCTCTTCGATTTCCCGAGAAGTTGTATAAGTTGCCCGGCTAATTTCTTCAAGTGCACCTCTTCCCATTCCCTGTTATCCCAATTCCAGCAGGCAATTAGCCCGGCATGAGGTCCTCGCAATCAGCTGTGGATAAGCAGCCTGCTCCCAGAGCACCACATGCTTGACCACTGGGTGCCCTGGACAAATTGCCTCGTTGTCCGGCTGGATCCGGGAATCTGGATGGGTAATAATCACGACTTGACCGCGGAAGTGACCAAAAGGCAGGGGCGCATGCGCGGCGGATTAACAGCGGCTCTGGCGAGAGGGGGTTGCGAGGGGGGGAAGGGAGTGGTTCGCCGAGATCTGAGATCGCATTGTCCAGATCACGGACCGCCTGGAATGAAGCTGTTAGCGACTTTCGGCATCATAATTAAGGTGCCGTAATTGCCGCCCCTGAGACGCGGTATTAGTGCCTCGGCACGGAGGCCCTTCCGCCCCTCGAACCCCCTTCGATCTCGGAGCCAAAGCAACCCGAAAAAAGGGGGAGGAGGAGGAAAACCCAACAGCTGCAGAACTCAACCTCAATGCCAACCGCCGACAAAGTTGCCTTTGTTGGCAACTTTATCAACATGCAAATAAAAAATTTCAAATGCCATTCAGCGGAAAGAGACGCAACGAAAGAGACGGAGCATCGGAGTGGGAAAGAGACGGCTGGAGATTAGGCGACGGCGGACACCGAGTGGCCGGAAACCCATCGGATGGATGACACAAGAACTCCAAGTGGAGTCGAGGGCCCCATCAAATAAAACTTAGTTCTCAACGATAATTGGAGTAGAGCTGAAAGGAGCGTCTCCTCGACATTCCACCTCCAGCTGCAGATCCTCATCAACCGGCTGGACAACCAGAGGCGTTTCGAGGACCAGGTGGGTCCTCCATTTAATTACCATTGAGTTACAAGCTCAAGAGAGCTTACTTTTCCGAAAAACACTTTTCCAGTAAACAAATTTTAAATGCATAACCCATTTTTGGAATGTTCAATAAATTTATCCAAAAATGTAAAATAAGCTAAAGTTATGGGTTTGGTTTTTCTGAAAATCCATTTTTTGCAAATTTTGAAAGGAGGATTTTAATCATGGTGTTGTTTGCTTTTTTTTATTTACTTCAGTTTTAGTTCTTTCGAATTCCCAATAACTTAACTTTTAAAGCCCTTTTCTCCTTTGATCCGCTGTTTTTTATAGATTCAATAAGAAACCCCTTCCCTTCCGTTTCCTTGGGAACTTCTTCCTCATCCTTTTCAGTTTAGTTCACTGCCAGTTTCCAGTTTGTTTCTATTCCACTCCCCTCGCCAAACCCATATATATCCTGGCATATCTCTCTATTCACCCGGACTTTTCCATGTACCATTTGCCACGGGGCAAGGGAATATACATATTTCTGTATCGCACGGCCAATTTGATGACATTATTACGGAAAACTGCACAAAAGTGTCGAGTGGAGCGACTAGAATGGGTCGCAGGACACCGAGGAGTGTCCTTTTCGCCAGCGCTCCTGGCATGTGTTGCTGAGCATGAAAATTGCAATTTTTCGTTAGATAATCCCGGGACCCAGAAACGGAACCCCAGAAATCGGGAACAATGCGGCAATGTTGCTCGGCAATCGGCAATTGGCAATTGGGTGAGTGGCAATTGATTCGTTGCACCATCAGCCTCGTCCTGCGAATAGATAGATCCCTTTTCTAGTATTTTTTTTCCTTTTTTTTTTTTTTTTTTTTGGTTGTCATTTTGTGGGGTCGACCGCAGTCGTTTGGCCACAGCGGGTAGTCTCTGTATATAGCGTCTATATAGCTCATCGATCGCAGCGTATCGAAAGGCAGGACAATATGGAAACTCTGAAGATTCTCAACGCTTTCTGGACGAGGTGTGATCCGTTGTCCCCGATAGGTGATCATTATTGTCATTATCTGAAGTGCTAAGTGGTCGCGTGTGACCAATTTTCAGCTGGTCATTGGATAATGGCGGGATTATCCGGTTAGATTGGGAGGACATAATCAACAAAATATGCTGTAAAAATAACAGCCGTTCAACTATTTATTTTTCACGTTTAACATATTTCTCGGGCAAGGCCAAATTCTTTTATTTCTATTAAATATAAAATTCAGAAAATAACTGCCGTCCAAGATTGACTTTTGCTTGCTCAAATTGACTTGTCCATCGGTGGACTGAATATTCTGTGTACATTTCCCTTCACTGCCTTCGGCTTTGCTAAAAAATAGAAAAGGAAATGAAATGACCGGAAGTTAAATCAAACCAACTTCAGACCGAAAATTGCCGAGAAATTCGAGACCAAAAACTGAAATTCGTCACATTCCGAACACGTAACAAACTTAGCCAAATTCATCTGGAAATACAAACACAAACACGTTGCTCTGTTGACCTTTTGCGAATAATTCAAATAAAATTTACACCTTTGAGCCAAGCGGAAGAGGGGCGGTGGCGCAGGGGGCGTGGCCACTGATGGACTGGCCAAGAGACTGCGAGCGGAAATCCTTTTTCAATTCTATTTCATCACAAAATGCACATGGACACACTGCCGAAATAAATCAGTAAATACATACATTTTTATGTTGATTAGAGGCTATATAAGGTTTTTCAAAGGCAACAAAAAAATTTGAACTGAATCGAAACTAAAATGTATCTTACTTCTTATTGTTACACAAACTTTGAACTTATTTCAAGTCCAACATTTTCCTTTGTGCACACACAGCTGCTGCAAGTTATGGCCGAAATATATAAATTGAGTCTTGGCCACTGAAGTTGATTATGGTCTACGCCTCAGCGGATCTCAGCCAACAAATTTTCTCGATTCGCCTGAAAATCAACACCAAGCTGTCCCCCCCAGAAAAAAGGGGAAAGGGCTGTCCATGTGTGTGTGTGTGCGGGTCATCCTTCTTCCTTTTTTTCGCTACCATTTTCCCCTTTTTCCCCGACCTTTTGCCCTTTCCTTTGGCCCAATGTGTCTGGCCTAAGCCCTGCGGCTCACATATCAGCGCGCATTAAAACAAAGTGGGCATCAATGTAGAACCCGAAGCCGAAACCTACACTTTCCCCCCTCCCCTCACCGACGCCCCTGACCCAAGTCCCCCCTCCGTTCCTTCCGCCTCCCCGGAGGGGGTAACTCAATTTGCACAAAAGAAATGCAAAACAGAATAGATTTAGGGGGAGTCAGGAAATTTAAAGGGAAAAGGCAGTGCCATGGTTGTACCCTGCAAAAAATAAGAGGTAAACCAAAATACTTGTCTCTGGATTGAACTGAATAACATCTAGATTATTTTTATAAAAAATAAAGCAAACATAAACAACTCGAAAAATAATAAATTTCCCAGCTGTTTAATTAAGGCGGCTATTCAAATTTAAATACCTTGTATGTTTTGGCTCTAACAATTTAACTTTATTTACTTTTTTTATTAAAAACTGAATTATTTATATTTCGATACAATTTTTGTATATTTTTGAAAAGCTTGTGTGTGAGCCTGTTTAAGCAAGTTTGAGTTAACTTTAGAGAGGGTATTTTTGGGAAAGGATCAAACGGACAGCGGCAGCTTTTCACTTATCAGAGCGGTCGGGGTCCCAATTATTAACGCCCAAAGCTCCAAATCCGATTTGCCATACTCCCCCCTTCGTCCTTTGTCCTTCGACCAAGTCAATTCAGTTGCCTAAGCCGGGAGCCCAAATCCTGGATCCCGGGGCCTTCCACACACACGCGATATATGCTAAGTAATACAAAAGGGGAAGGGAAGGGAAGGGGAGCTAAATTCGAACAGCTGTTGGGAGTCCGAGTTTTCTCCTCGAATCTCCGGAGAATTCCAGACGGAAGTGCACTTGAGCCCGGTGGCGCCGGAATTCGTGTGAAAAGTATTGCAGGACAACCAGAAAAGTGTCCACTTGAGCGGCAGATTTGACCTGTTTCACACATCCGAGGACAAGTGTTGGGCCAACACATCCTGCAAGGACCCATTAATCGCAGTTCGATAATAATTTCATGCTCGTTAACAGGACAGCAAAGTGCGCGTTCCCCTCGTAATTTTCTGGCATATTAGTTACAGGACCTCCGACCCGTCGCCTTGTTATCGTTAAGCAGTCAGTCGCTAATTAGACGCACATGTGTAACACGAAACCGCGTTTAAGTTCGGGGAATGGAAAATGCAATGGAAACACAGGAGCAACCACCGACACCAAACACACAAAAACACCAAAAACACAAAAATCCTCGCTCCTTTTTCGTTCCGGCGAAGCACTAAAACTGTCCCAATTGTTACGAAATTATACACTTGAACTTCTTAACTTTTGTTCTCTTTTTTTTTTTTTTTGTTTGTTATTTTCCACCCCCTCGAATGGCAGCGGGTTAAGCACTTGCCCGGGGGTCAGTCCGCAAATTGTGATCCCGAAACTGAAACTGCTCCCGGTCACAGTCACACTTCCTTACCGATAATCCTGGCAAAAAACATTTATTGGCAAAAGTGTCGAATGATATTTAATGGCCTTTAATGGTGGGAAAGTTCACATATGAGGGGTTTCAGTTTGAGTTTAGTGGTTACACAAAAAAGCAAAATTACAAAAGAATCTTCTTGCGTATATAATAATTATTGATCAAATGTAAAATTGTTTTAAAATGTGGATCAATCTCCAACTTTGAAAGCCATCGCAAAGCAAGTACCATTATATAAATAGCTATTTATTAATTGTAACAAATACTTTAAGCTTTGTAGTTCAAAAGTATTACTTCTTGTTTAGATAACAATCGAATACCTCCCTGCAATCCTTAACCTTTAATTAAGAAACACCGCTCGATATCTGCAAGATTTCCTCCCCTTTTCGGATATCTTATTTCTTTAATAATCTCCTCGCGGCTGAGGAATGCGGGAAGCGGGGGTTGGACAAAAAAACCAGATTTAATATCTGGCCGCCCTTTAATCTATCAGGTCAACAGCTGTGGCCAATGGCCGAAAATCGAGCAATCCACCATCCAAAGTCGCCGCCCCTGTGGATATTGTTATTTTCGCCGTGGCTCCCCGGCCATATTCTCTTTGTTTTTAATAAATTTCAGGGCAGGATGGGCCAGGACGTGGCCATGATAGAGCTGATGGCTCTGTTGTTGGCGTTGCCGTTGCCTTTGCCATTGCTGTTGGCGGGAATCCCCTTATTCATTCGGCGAGCTTGTCCTTTGTTATTTCGCTGGGCGACATTTGCATGCCTCATTTGAGAACAAGTTCCTCTTCATTTATTTATTTTATTGCGGCCTCATTCGCGTTATGAACTCAATGGCCTGTGGACATTATTTTAATAATTGCACTCCCCGTTGCTCGCTCTGTTTATTACTCGCATTCCATTGATTTTCATGGATTTCTCGTAATAAACTTTTCTGTATTGTAATTTTTTATGTACACAACCTCAGCAGGCGGGTGCTCTCTTTCAGCCCCTTGATATTGGGCAGGAAAAGGCGGGAAAAGTTGGATAAATATTGAATATTGCGTTCAGGAGGTCAGCAGTACTAGTTATCCTTTAGATGGAAAGACTTAAAATGGTAAAGATATGGCGAATTGGGTCATTGTGTGTTTCTACATTTTATACCAAAAATCTCCTCATATCAGTAAGCAGTTGGTAATCAACCGGAAGACACGCCGTCTGAGATTCTCCGCCTACCTAACACTCGATCCTCGAACTATGCTCAAACCTCCGAGATCCCGAAACTAATCCCCGGGCTAAGCTTACACACACTTTGTGGGCTAATTTATCTTGAGTGGATCGCGGAGAGATCCCGGCGAAAGGACAAAGGGCTATCGATCGATCCAGCTCAGCATTCAGCATCCTGCCATATCCTTTGTAACCGGGTGTGCTTTTGTGCAGTTCAATATATGGTATACTCCCTATGTTCCCTGGTTACTTGGACAGGTTCCGGTTGCACAATGGCACACAGACACACAAAGTATAGTAAAACCAAAACAAAGGACCTGCACGATCGCCCGATGAAGGATTATCCCAGACAGCAAGTCTGGGGAATCCTTTTTCGGGCCATACATATATTAGCCGTAAGTGCGGCTTAGCCGAATGCTAATAGCCAGAAAATGGGAGATGGCAAACAGAAATCCGAGTCCACACATGCCGGTGCAACCTGTAGTCTTCTTCGGTGGCTTTTATTGTGCGCCGCCCTTTGTGCCAATTGTTGCCACAAATTGCTGAACAAAGACAAGTGTAGCGCCGGCGCTGCCACCGATCCCGATTCGGATTTGGACTCGGATCCCTTATCCTCTCCATATCCACTGGCCACCCAAAAATACTTCAATGGTTAAAAAAAAGCCGGTGGAACTTACCAATCGATGCAACCATTTTGTATTCACAGCACTGAATTTCATCTTCATTATAGGAAACCGACAAATAAAAATTATACAAATAAATAACGAATCGCGATTCCCATAAATAGAATAATAAATCAATCTGTGGCAAGCAACTAAAGATATATTAATTCGATTCTTAGCCCATCCATTTCGAAAAGTTTTTAACTCAAAGTTCCGCTTTTTATCCACATAACTTCCAAAATTCCCCCAATTCTTCAGCGGCAAACTCTTGATCCCCCAGCAAAATGCCAAATAATCGAACAGTGTGGGCATGTCGGTGCCTAGTTTTTTCCGCCTAGAATTTTCTAACTGGCCGTGTGCGTGCTTTTTTTCTGCCATCAGTGGCATTTTTTCCAGCGAGGACACCACACTATGTTTCTAATCAGTGCAGCTTCCGCCTTTGCCCGACTTTTCCCGCTCCGCCGATGAATTTTGTGTCAGTCAACAGAGCGCGATATTTGTCAACAAGCGGAACTATAAATATGCATGCGAAGGGAGTTCTGTTGGGCGGTGGAAAACGGGAAAATTGTGGGGAGAACGTATGTATGTGTATGTGGGTGGCAAGTGGAAATGGATGCTATCGGGGCATTTTCTGGCAGGAGGCTCTGATTTTCCACTCACAGTCAGGCATTTCATTTCATTCCATTTCACGGTGCACTTTTTACTTTCTGGCAAACTCATTTGTTACTTTCCCCCGGTGAAATCGAAAAAAGCAACACCGCTCTCGAAACGCTTGCAACTTTTCCGGCTGGGGAATAGAAAATCCACTGAAACCGAATCCGTATATTTGCGAATTACTCACAAACTTTTGAAGGATGCTGCGGCTGTTCAAGATGCGATCTGCCCTGCAGACTCAAAAGATAATGCGATCAATGTGCTATGGTATGTATATATATATAGAAGAATCTCTTAAACAATCGTGTGTATATTATATGAGATATGATTTAAAGATTCACAACGCATACGGGCGCAGTTTGTCGTGCAATCTGGGGAATCCCCCGAAACTTCTTCGAATCCTATGGAAATCGAGCAGGAAAAGGAGGAGAAACCATCGGTGGCACCGCGTCCACAGCACAATCCACTAAGTCGACGCCACACTGTAAACAGCTCTCGATTGCAGTACATTAATGACAAATACAAGGAGTTGGCCAACGAGGTGGAGCTGCGCAAGCCAAAGGTCAAGCCCTTCGTGACCCGCCACGCCCTCCATTCAGGAAGATCTGACAAGTAGGATGTGGGTTCATTCAGGATTATAGAAAAAATTACCTCTTCTTTTGCGGTTTATTGCCCTGAACATCTATTGTTCAATGAATCTGTTTTCTTTTGCATGTTAAATTACAAAGTACAAGGCTTACACAAAAGTGTTAAATTAAAGGCATTGATAACAGAATTTCTATTTGATTAAGTAAAACAAGTGAAGGGGAGCAATCTCCCCTCAGGAGCTAATATTTCTTTTTTATTTGTAATGAATATGTTTTTGCAAAGGGTACTTTTTTTTCATTTCAATCAAACTTAAACCCTCTTTAAATGCGTTACCTAAAATTCCTCTGATTTATTTGAGAATGGGGAATGTGCTAGTCTAGGCAAAAAGGAAAATCATAACGAGGCTGAACAACCAACAACCAACAACCAGAAACCGACAACGACAACCGACGACCGGCAACACATAAGCCGCCATGTAACGGATGCGAGTGCAACAGCAACAACAATAGCAAGTACAACAGCAACATCATCTGTGCAACAGCAACATCATCCGTGCAACAGCAACAACGGCAGCGATTGCTGGATTTCCCTGGGACTTGCACACAGGATTCGATTGGGAGCGGAAGAAAAAACGACGCATTTCTGAGCTGAAGGTGGAGGATGAGGAAGTGGAAAATGTGGAGGAGTTAAGCGAAGGTTTCGCAAGGGGAGTGGAAAAGCGGAAAACTCCAGAGGCAAGACAACGAATGGTCAGAGTAACAAGTTGATAAAGTGGGAGATAAGTGAATTTAATTCTTACGCAGGATTTACCAATAAAAGACACACTATTTTAAACTAATACATAAACAGGAATGTTTTAAGATACCAACCTTCTGCATAACAAGAATAACAAATTAAACTAATATGGTACATAAACAAGTATGTTTTAAGATACCAACCTTCTGTACAAAAATAATAACAGCAAGAATGCAGTTAGCTTTTAACAAGGACTTGCATTCTTCTCGACGAATCCTTGGAACAGGTTGAGCCACATTCATCTCCTGTTGCTGGCCGTTCAAGAACTAAACTCGAATCCGGGATTGGGATTGGGATTGGGATTGGGATTGGTATTGGTATTGGCATTGGGTTTGGGATCGGTGGGGCAAATGGGAGAAGTGGGCGACTAAGCGTTTCACTTTCAGCTCCGTTTGATGGCCAGTCGCTTTTGAGAATGAAATCGCAATGTGCGAACGCCCACCGCTTCTCCTGGCCGCCTATTTTTTCCCCGAGCTTTTCCGGCTCCCCCCGGCTCCTTTCATCCACACAAATCACACTACACCGAATACGTCAAGGCAAGGCGGAAAATCGGAAAATCGGAGGCGGGAAACGCCCCGCCGGCACTGGCTTTCCTTTGAGTGCCAGCCGGGCTCAATATCACAGGGAAAATAGCCGCAAAAAAAGCGACTCTCGATAAGAAACAAAGGCAGCTGAACAGAGAACAGAGCACTGAGAACAAAAACAAAAAAAAACACTGAAAACTGAAAAACCTGCGGGGGAGGTGGCCAAAAGGGAAAACAGGAGCTGACTTGACTACAAAACCCAAGTCGCAACGGATGCCCCATCGACAATTGTGGGTGGGAAAAGGGCAAGGGAAAAGGGGGTGGTGGGTGGTGGGTGTTGGGGGTGTGGATTCGGTGGTCCTGTGCGAAGGATTGACTTTGACTGCCGAGCCATATGTATATCCTGTTTGTGCCGAGATTTGGCTTTGAGCTATGGATATCGTTAGAGCAGCTCATCGATTTGGCACCCAAGGGGCGGCTCCAAAAGGGGTGGCATGGGTTGATTTAAAAAAAAAAAGGGGAAAGGGGGCCCACTGTTGTCGCAACTTCGAGTGTCGTGCGCTGCAAAGTTTACAAGCTACCGAGCTCTTTATTTTTTTTCTGCAGCAGCAGCACCACTGTTGCCGTTGCTCTGGTCCTTTTTTAATTACATCCTTCGCAAAAAAACACAAAAAAAAAATACCTTAGGGCCTGCTGTTGCAGCTAAAAAAAAACAGATAGAGAAAGGGGTAAGAGCAAAAGTGAACCCGGCCAAACCAAAAACTTGTACAAATGCCATGGTTTGGCTTTGGCCTACGAACTTCACGTCCTTTTTTTCAGCACTCTGCACCTCCACGTTAGTTTATTGTGAAATTCCAATAAATGCAGTGGGTGTGGCTGCCATAAAAGTAGTTGAGCGGAGTAAAAAATGCAGGGAAATGGAAAATGGGCAGCGGAGGAAGCTCTGCCTGAAGAACAAGGAAAAACGAGCAGCAGAAAGTCGTAGAAAATCGGAAAATTGGCCACGCAATGTGGGAAAAAAGAAGGGGTGCATTTAAAGTCTTGAAAGATTCGGTTTACCGAACTATTCGAAGGTGCTAACTATGAGAAAATATTATTTAAAGGATTGTTTTATATAAAATCTATTTGAAGAAGTTTGATAGTGAATAATTTGAGTTTATGATTTTAATGTATAACATTTATCTTATTCATCTTGTAATTATTATGTATGCTATGCAGGTTTTAAAACATTTTTTAAATAGGAAGGTATATATTACAGCGCACTGATGAAGTCGGCAAGGACGAAGGCGCCTGGAGTAAGCTAACCGGTAACTCGGCTCACCTCCTCACAGGACTCCACTCGGTTCAATTGTGCCGGGGATTGCGATGCGCCAAGGACATCATCGTCCAGGGGGAAGGGAAAAGCAGTGGGTAGGACTCTGTCTCTTCCTTTGGGTACTTCGGGTACTTGGGTACTTTGGGGATTTTGTGCAGATTTACATGCAAACAATCAAGATATGCCCGGGCTTTCAAGTGCCCCGGAGTTGCGAGCTGGAAAAGCGGAAAAGCGGAAAAATGGGGGCAAGGGACTGGCTGCCAATACGTCATGTGTGCCTCAGCAGCGGCTTACCCATGAGTTGTAGGTGGAAAACGAGGGCGATGGGGATGGGGAAAGTGGTGGGGGAGGGGGGAAAGTGGAAGGGGAGGGGAAGTGAATAAGCGGGAAATGGGCGGGTGGTTAAATGCTCCCCGTGCACGTTCCGTTTGCTTTTCACATCTTTTCACCTTTGATTTTCCATTCGCATTTCGATTGTCGCCGGACCCTTTTCCCCAAACTGATGGCTTTTCCTCGCCTTTTTTCCTCCACGGAGGGAAAACATTGGTAGAATCATTCAAAAAATTTTGCTCAGAATTCAAAATCACATTTTTCTCATCAAAAAATTATCGTTCAATATTTCCAGTATTCCCTTTTTTTATGTCTAACTAAAGCAAATAAATTGTAATTTCATTTTATATTAAGAACTTAAATTAAATATTTTTTATCATAAAAAAGTAAAACGTTTAATGGTGTCTAATGTTACAAGAAAATTGCTGCTGAAATGTTTGTATTTCTTTTCTCACTCCTTTTTTTTCTACGTGATCCTGGTTTCGGTCTTGTTATTTTCTCAATGTTTGTTAAATAAATATCTCTACACATGTTCCGTTTACAATCCCCGTCCCTTTATCCGCTCGTTACTTTCGGTTGATATTATTGGTTTTTAATTCAATTGCCACTTACGTATGTTAAATGTTTTCTTTGGGGGATTACTTGACATTGTCTGAGCCCTGCGAATCCCATTCTTCGCATTCCCCGTGTCCTTATAAATGCTGAATGCGAGTTAATTATTTAATGCATGTCACCCAGTGGCTAACACGACCCCTTCAAATGCAAATTGCCTTCGTCACCAGCTGGGTTTTTGGTTGGGGTAGGGATTTCGACGTGGACACAAACAACACGGGATTCAGAACACAGGATGCAGGACACAGGACCACTTTGAACAGGACGACAGTTGTGAAAAACTGCTAAAAAGGCGAGGGAACAACACGAGAAATTAAAGAGATTCTCTTAAAGAACAACGCTCTTTTTATCCACATAAAAACTAGGTAAAAATGAGTACCTAGATATTATTTTTTAAAAATAACACATATATCAATATTAAGATGTAAATATAAAGTTAAGTTGTAGAGAGTAGCAGTTAACCCTTGAAACCCCAGCATCCCCCCAAATCTCTCTTCTAATCCAATTCTATAGTCCATCCCCATTTTTGGTCAAATATGGCCGACAGGGTTGCTTCACACTAGTGGGTCAAATTTTGTACAAAATGTAAGGGGAAAGATATACATCTGCGCATGTCTATTGGCCAAAAGTGATCCCAAATGAAGTAATTTAACAGGAGATTATAAAATAAAAAATATAGTACAAATTTGTATAAAATATTTAAAAAGCGTTTCAAAGTTCCCACTATGACTATTCATTACTATATATAAATATTTTAGAAATATTTTTAAAAAGGCTTCTTCGTTTGAAATCCCCCTGCTAATCCCACGAAATGCCCCAAGGAAATCCCCTCGGATTCCCGTATGTGTGAACGGAATTTAGGGCCAAGACGAGGAGGGGTTTTCTCGGGATCTTTTGGCCAAACAGAAAACAGAGCAGCCACTACAATGGCCAACGGCTGACCCTACGATATTTACGAGCTGGCCGCGCGCATTATCATTAATTTAACGGATTAGCAGGAGCTGGGGGCCACATCAGAAACCACAAAAACCGCCTGGAAAAAGGACACAAGAGCCGTTGCGCTACATTCCAGGAATTTTAATTGAGTTGTTTCCGACTGCTGCTGCTGCTGGCTGGTGCGTGATTTAAGGCAAATCCCGAAAATTGTGATAATCGACTTTGATGCCCGACTGTCGCCGCCGACATTGTCGCCTGCCTATCTGGGTTTTGGAAAACGGAAAATGGAAAATCGAAAATGGTAAATGGTAGATGGTAGATGGTAAATGGAAAACAGACGGAGACGTTGTCGTAGTCGGAGATGTCCTGTTGTTTTTACCACTGCCCCACGAGATGGAGAGAGGTCCTTTTATTATTACGACAGGACGACACTTGGGTGCAAACGAGCCGATTATTGCCGCCTGATAATGTTCTAATTGCCCTGCAGCTCTCGATTCGTAGCTGCAGTCGAGTTCTCGAGATGGTCCTCCCCCCTCTCCCCCGTCCCTCTCCTCGATGGTCTCCTACTGTTTGGGCACATCTCGCCCAGCCCTTCTTATCCTTGGCAGCAGTTGCAGCCGAGTCGAGTCGGTCGGTTGTCCTTTTGTGTGGACGGCACGCTGGGCCGCCTGCCATCGGACATATCTGGCTTGTCGGTAGGTGTTTTATTTGCCAAATGCATCCGACAACGCTCCGGGATCCCAGCTACAGATACGGATACCACTGGAGTGCCAGCGAGCACTTCATTAGTATCTGCAAGTCGCAGTCAAAGTGAAACCGAAAACGAAACTCAACCTGAAACTGAAACTAAACTGAAGGCATATCACTAACCGCAGTTGGTAATTTTCTGGGAATTTTGAGCGGTGTCGGCTCTTTTCAAATTGTCACCAAGCCAGGAAAATTGATTTCTCAACTTTTTCACCTGACAACAAAAATTATCTATAGAGGTTCAATATATTTCAATTACAAATTAATTAGAAAGAAGAATGCATTGAGTGTGAAACATATTTTGTAATGTCAGGTAGCTTAGCTGGATTTCCTGGTTCATTCCATATCTCCGTCATTATCTTATACGCTGTTAATTCAATCTATTTGCCCCCAGATGGAGACCCAATAAAAGCGAATCGCCGGCAGTAAGGGAAAATTGAAACGCGTAACAGCCGCAATGGGATACCCCCAATTGGGTCGCCAAATCGGTGGAATGGGGCCTCGAATGTCCAACGAGATTTGATTTTTATCGCAAGTATATTTGAATTTTATTGCGTACGAAATTCTCGATACAATCGCCGGCCATAAAAGTGACTGGAGCCAAGTCGTCGACGACTGCGACGACCAATCGAGAGGCAAGTCCACCTAGCCATGGCCAAAATGGCCAAAATGGGATAAACAGCCAGCCGGGGAGCAGTCACCATTTCTTGGCCACGTTGGCGTCATTTTCCACGCAATAAAATAAACATTCAAAACGAAATCAACTTAAACGCCTCACGCTGACCCGGCCTTAACCCCTTGGGTCCAACTCCTTGTCCATTCCTCAATGTGGCACATTTGCTTTTATGCTTATTTTTATGTCACTCTTTCGAGTGATACACTTCTTTAGGAGTATGCTCGTATTTTCCAATCAGAAAGAAATGTTTATAAAGTAAAAAAGTGTTAAATATCATATAATATCATTGAACCAACATTATTAAAACTTTTCCTTTACCTGAGTATTAATGTTAAAATAAATGTATATCAGTGTACTTTAAATCTTTCGTTGTAGTCTTAGTTGTAGTCACGGAACTATTAAAGCGAATGATATATTTAAAGGGTATTTGCATTATCGTGAAACTAAAAAAAACGTTGTTTTGTTTTTGCTGTTTTTTTTTCACCCCCCTTCGCACGGGTCAAAGTTTCAATGGCCAGTGGCCGCAAATCCCCGCCAGCTTGCAGCTAATAGTTTGGGTAAACAAGGGACTCTCGGCCAAAAAGGGTTGATTTAATAAGCTGGAGCGATTCGATTCGAATTCTATTATCTGCCGTCCTGATGGGGACCCAAATCAAATGCGTATTTATCGAGACTTAAATGAGCCAAGGACGGGGGCCTGAAAATCGGAACACCCACGAGCAGCTGAATGGCCCAAAGTGCCTTGGCCACAATGAGTTCGGTTCGGTTTTCGGTTTTCGGTTAAGGTTTCGGTTTTTCGGACTGGGGGATTTGTTGGTCTTCTGATGGAGGCCAGAAGTCAATGGCAAGAGCACAGAAGCGGCAGTAAACAATCGTAAAATCTCGAAGGAGACAATGGACTGGCCAGGAAGTGGAAACGACATTGTTGGCTTCTCCCTGTGCGGTGACATCATCGACCAAACACCATACACCATACAGAATACAGCAACTGCTATACAGCAAATAGGAAAATGCCAAACAACAATTACCCAGGGCTGTTACCATTTTCTCGGCCCTGATTGCTTCATTTTCGGTGGCCAAAAACTCCCGGCGGATGAGTTATGGCCACATAGATGGCTCATCTCCAGTTCTCTTCAGTTCAATTCCACAATGGGATCTCAACAGTTTCTGTTTCTGAGGGATCCTTGGACTGGTGTGATTTATACTGCGGATGCGTCTGGCATCAACCAGCCGTTGTCCTCATAAATGTCCGCCAGCTGCCAGGACACCCATAGCTTCGCTATATATCCTAGGGAATGATTTAAGCCTCGATTTTATTACTAGAAAATCCTTTTAATTGGTTTAACAACTAACACCTTTTTCTTCTTAGGTTTCCTTATTTTGATAACTTCTTTTTTTCAACAGGAAACCCCACAAATAGTTTTGTGTGAAAATGAGTTTATATCAACTAAGCTATATTATTATATTTAATTATATTATTTCTTAAATAAATCCCTTTTTTACTCTTAAAAGTTGATCAGTCTAATTGGCTTGCTTAAAATTTGTGGGCAATCATAAAAAAGGGAATTTTGTGAGGTAAGTTTCTAAATTTTGGGGATCTGAGTCATCTGCAAATTGGTCTGCAGTCCCTGGCGTCACCAGGCTATGAAGTCCCGGATTCCCGAATCCTCAGAACCTTTGACCGAACAACAAACGACTTTATGCGCTCACATAAAAGGGCGCAACATCAAAAAAATCAAAAACGATAAAAACGGTCCCTCAACATTTTATTCTACCCCTCATGTGGAGCTGCAAATTGTCATTAGACATGCCGAATTTATGATTTTCGGCTGTGATTTCTGGGTGTGTGTGTGTGTGCGCTTTTTTTCAGCCCGATATGCCATTCGATCCACCACCACCCACCGACGCCCGCTTAAGTATGCTACACACATTTTTTTGGTAACCCTTGCCATCGCCGAAAAACTCCAGCTTCGCCCCCTTTCCCCTTTTCGCCCCTGATGTGGCACACAAACTCATAAATTGTATAAATTGTTGGGCTATTATTTCTCGTGGCTGTCAACGCAATATTGCAGGCAAATTGTCCTGGACAACATGTTGGCGTTGGGGAAGGGGAGAAGGACGGGTTAAAGATCGGGTTTGAACTAAAAAAAAACCTCAAAAGCAGTGGATGCAAGAAATCAGTTTGAAATATCTTAGCTTTATCAATATTCAACAAATCATTATTAGTCTTACAATATGGCCCTAATTGCCTTTCATATTAAAACGCTTTCCAAATGAAAAGGAGTAAGTTAAGAAAGGTTTTTAATTATATCAAACCATAAGTTTTTGTGTTGTAATCACTCTTTTTTAATGTCAAAAATGCAATAATTTTTGCTATATGATCTATGGATTCCGGTGACATTCCACTCCCCGTATGATGTGGCATTTCTGTCGTCACTCTCAGTTTTAGTTGCCAAATGCGCTACCCCTTGTCCATTTATGGATTTTTTACCCAACCATTTTTATGGCATTTTCTCGGCTCGTTTATGTCACAATTTTACCCATTTTCCGCAATTGACTTTGCAGCCTTGACTTACGCCAAATGACATAATTACCCAGGGGGCGGGGGCGTGGCAGGTAACCGTTTTTAGGGCTATAGGGTTATATAGCACGTAACCCTAGCCCTAACCCTGCGTCATAAAAGATGCAATTTCGCGCGAATTCTAACCCCAGCAAATCCTTTTTTACCCTGTCCTAAAATAGCCGTTTTTTTCCACCGAAAATACCCATTTTTCCTCCCTTTTTATGCTATTTTTATTATTATTTGCGAAATGGTTAGAAAGTCAATTGTTTTATGGGATTTTGAAAAAAACAGCAGGCGGGGATTTTCAGTAGGTGCTGCCCTAAAAGTCAGCTGCCCAAACATTTTGGGATCTAAATCTATAGCCCCATATCCTCAGTCGTTAGCCGGACCCCGACTCCAAAGCACCAAAACTTTCGGAAGTTATATTTTTTGACCAAATTCCAAAATTCTCGTTACAAAATTTTCATATTCAATAGTAAAATTTCTACAAGTGCAAAGAAAACAATTTTACTCGCACTTTTGAAGAAAAAGGAACGTAAAATCAAAAAAAAAAAATATGAAAAGTTAAATCAGAACAAGCAAATCCATACCGAAAACCGCATAACATACCCACTGTGAAATTAAAAAAATACTACAATCGAAATCTCACAATAGCAAGCAAAAAATAATAGTGAAAAATAAGTCTTTTCGCCTTCAACCATGCAACGTTCAGTTATCAAAAGTGGATGTTCCAGGACCCTGACCCTCTTAAACCCACTGAGGTCCTTCCACCAGAAGGGTCTGTATGTGGACGAGTCCTTGGAGGCTCCGGTGGCCAAGAAAACCAATTGCCTGGAGCTTCTGGGTCGTCTGCTCCATGGTCGCTTGAACTTATTGAGCGGTCGCCCTGTGCCGCCAAGGTTCCTGCCCTTCTTGACCGGCGAAAGCAACGTGTACTTCAATGCCGACGAGAACGAGGAGTTCCGCAGGCGACTGGGAATGCAGCTGAAGGAGTTGCGCGAGACCCTGCAGGTCAACCGGGAGAATCGCCAGCGACAGCAAGAGCAGGATCTGGAAGAGGACCTTCGGGAGGAAGAGCATCAGCCGTACACAACCAGTTCCCAGGAGATTACCGTGGAGGATCTCGCCGAGGAGGAGCTCGACGAGTCTCGGGCAGTGCGGATGAGTGCCAGCGAAGATGGCGAAAAGTCTGGCGGCTCCAAGAAGACGGCGGAGACCAGTGAAGGGGAGGGCGAAGAAACGGCAGAAGCCAGAGAGCCGCAGGATCCGCAGGACGATGTCCTCGATGTCCACGAACGGATGCGCGATGGCGAAATCGAAGGAGTCTACTGGACAGGAGAGGGCAAGAGGATCGTGACCCAAACGCCTCAACGAAAGACGGGACATTCGGGATTCGTGGACGGCGATGGGGAGGAGATCCACGTTGAGGAGACCCCGGGGCAGCCACTTCCCTATTATCCCGAGGGCCCCCGGGCAAAGGCCACCTCCAAGGTCCTGAAAAAGGGACGCAAGCCCGGAACCAAGCCCACCAGTTCCGATGAATAGCCAAGCTGTACGCAATCGAAATGGCAACCAAAATCCTCACTAAAATAAATACAAAAGGCTAAGGAGACAACTCCCTTAACTGCGTTTCCCTTTCCCGGTAACCTTCCTCTGAGGTTTCTGCGGGTTGCATTCAGTTGAGTCATCTGTAGGCAGGCCTACCTGTCCATTTGCTTAGCAAATTTTATGCAATGCTCGGCAGTCAAGGACGAACTACCTGAATGTGCAACACACGCTTCCCACGCGCGGTCGTCACTCACTCACTCTCACTCTTTATGCCATTTAAAAAATCCTTTTTTACAGCCGCATCCTTTTCGATTTTCCAGTGAAGCATAAACGTACAGAAAAAAACCTAAAAACAAGCAAATACTTTCAGTCTTAAATTAAAACATGGATATTATAAATATACTACTCTTGCTTTTCCCTTTAATTGTTCAGCTTAATAAATTACTCGTTTGATGATCCAATTTACTTGGAAAACAATCCAATACAAACATTTTTGTATAGAAAAAAGGAGAGCACAAGAAAAAACTCCACGTTTTGTGGTAAATCCATCTTTACCTGCTCCTTCGACCCACGATGATAAATGATGTTTGCCAATCTATCTGACCCAAGTCCGGAAATTAAATTTGTTTGAAAATTTGCCACTTTTCTGCCTCTGTTCCTTGTTTGTTTTTCCCCCTAAGAGTTACGCCCGAAAAAATTGGGAAAAGGGACTGTGGGAACACGAAAATCAAAGGGGGAGGATAACTAATTGTGGGCCAATGTAAACTAATACAAACTGGACTTCAGGGAACTGGTCATCAAAAGTGACTGAGGATTCCAAAGAATTATGATAGCATGAAAATAAATATTTATAATATTAAAAAAAACCTTTTGAAATAAAATGATACTTGTTTATAAATAATTAAAATATCCATGCTGGAAAATCCTCTGGCGGTCAATTAAGTTGTTAATGTGTCTCCAAAGTCCAGAGTTTTCGAACCGGTTTTAGGATCAAGATTTTGTAATTGGGAAGCTCGAATAGAGAAGACGACCTCCCATCGAGCGGCCTGCAACCTGCGACAGTTTATTGAAACATTTTTCAGCATTTCTTACACAAATCCGTGGTCAGGACAAAGGGGGGCATCGAAATCGTGGAATAACGAATCCGTGGATCCTCATAAATCATGTCATTTATAGCGACTGCGGTCGTCCACGGTGCCAGTTTGTCTGGCAAAGAGACCTGAAAGTGAAATCCCAACTATTATCGGGGATTTTTCACTCTCGCCTTTGTGCGGTTTGTTGGGGTTTGGTTTCCCAAAAGATCATCGAATAAAGAACGAAAAAAAAAAAAAACGCGGGACAAATGAAAACATCAAATCATTCATAACACTTGTTTGCCTGGCATTGATTGAGCCAACAACACACACCCCATGATCCTGACCATTTCCTCTGCATTGTCCTAAGCGATTTCTCAGTTCTCAGTTCTCGATTCTCAGTTCGAAATTCTCATTTCTCGGTTTTTATTTCTCATTTCTCAGTTGCCAGTTCCCAACCTGTTCACTTTCATTGATGGCCAGATCCTCATTGTTTACGGAAAACATTTCGAGTTCAACTGAATCGCTCATTGTTTGATTCGAATTGATTAATGTGCCCCTGGTTCTGAGTTCTATTCATCGTTTAGCGTTTCCCTTTTTATTTCTAAATAGTTGAAGCAACGCGGAGTGGGACCTGTACAGGTTGGCTTGGGTTAATGAGGCCCTCAATAAGTCAATTAGTTGACTGCAGCGGGATTAGGGTTGATCCTGTTTTTGTTCGAAGGTCTCAACTCGTTTTTCACTTGGTCAATTGACTTGTTTAATTTTTCTTTAAATCTTAATAGAGCAATCAGGATTAGGACAAGTTGAATTATTAGATTTTTAGATAGAAAACAAGTTACTATGCATTTCAACAACCAAATACTTTGTAAAAAAAATCTGTATGAGTTTTTCATACTTACTTTTTTTTATTACTATTATGTGTTTAAATATTTTATTTTATCCAATCCCCACAAAAAGCAAAAAAAATTTATAGATCAATATTTTTTCTCAAATTAAGGTACATATATATTGACCCAATGCCAATCGACAGCTTGACCTTTCATCTTTTTTGACCCGGCAATTATAACTTTTGATTGTGCAAGTCGTCTCATTTTTTGGGCAATTAAAATTTCACGCCATGGCAACGCAAAAGATACAAATGTATCTTCAACCGAAAAGAGATATATTGTGCGTGTGGCACAGGTGGCCTACGGTGGTTCGGTGGTTTCGGCGGTGCTGCTGCTGCTGGTGATGGTGGTGGTGGTTTTCCCCTCTGCACTTGTTTTGGAAAATTCGCAACGCCCGGGATATAAATGATATCTCAGCAGCTATTTCCCCACCCGACTTTCCACCCTTCGATTCGCATTTTTTTTCTTGGTTTGGTGATAACGTGAAATAATTGCGTGACAACCATGTTGCGATAATTTTCAATTAAACTGCGTTTTCCCTTTTTTTTGGTAAGCATAAAAAGAGAGAGAGGTAGCGTGAAATTTCATATTAAAATCAACTGATTTTCTGCTTTCATTTATTCATGCTCTTCGTTGTTCTCCGTTCTTGTTGTCATACACTGTAATTAAAAGTGTAACTTGAATACTATTTTTGTTGAAAATGCATGAACACAGCAGTTAAATACTGCAAAAAAGTTACACTAAAATGTTAAATTAAATTTTTTTGGCATTAAATATTAATATCTAAGTTCATCAGCTAAATTCCTTAAAATTTAAATTTATGAAGAATATAACTTTACAAGCTACACCATATTTATCTAATAATTTAGTGTCTGATTTATTAGTAACTTACTTTTCAAGCATAAATATTTTCTACTTATTTTTTCTACCATATCGTATTTTCATTTTAAATTTATTTAAATATATTTGATGGTACTGTTTTTTTACACAACCACCAAGAACACTGTGCCTGAAGAAAAGTGTCACACTTGTGCGTCATTAACGCCGCCGGGTCACAGCTGGTGGATTGGGTGGATTGGGTGGATTGGGTGGTTTGGGTGGTTTGGATGGTTGGGCGGTGCGGCCTTGTGGGCTGCGTGGTTGGGGGAGGCGCTTCTTTTTGACTGTTTGACTGGGTGGCTGTTTTTGGGATCCGGGATCTATTCGGTTGGGTGGCTCCCTTTTGGTCCTTTGGCCTTTTTTCCGGGGGATGGTTGGGCGGAATTCGCCTGCGCCACTGTGGTTGCCAACGACATCGCCAACCATTTTTCTGCGGTGCAGGACGCGTTGTTAATTTGATTTGTGCGCTTTGCAATTTAACAATAATATTGTCATCAGGTTTCGCTGGTTTCGGTGGTGCACGAGAAGTAGCCATAGTGGATGAATGGTGGTTGGGGGCGTAACCAATGCCCATTTAATTAGATCACACTGCGCAGTTCTTTGATGGCCTCCAACAATTTAAGGGCTACCATCTTGTTTGTTTCAATTTGATGGGATGCCTGTGATTTATTAATTTTTCAGCTATACAGCTTATAGTGGGATCTGATTTTTTTAATCTAAAAAAATCATTAAAACGTGGTATATATTTAAATAATAGAAACATATTTTTAATGGACTCTATTTATTGCGTTTTATGGTTTTATTTATTTTTTTTGTTTTCCCCCCTTCAATTGACTTTTTTTAGGCCTTTCACTTGGTGTTTTGTTGTGCACTTCAAAGACATGTTTGTCCTTATCGAAATCAAATCTTTCGCGATCCGAACTTCACTTAACTTAAAACCCCCCTCTTCAATTTAATATTGCGTAGGCTTAACCCACACGCAGGCCGCAGTAACCGCATGTGCACCACCCAATACGAATACCCACCAATAACCACCCGAGAGAAAACCACCCACATGTGGATGGGTTATTGGGTTAATCAGCACGCACGGGGATTTCCAAGGCGGCGGAGCTTTCGCCCCGAATTTCGAGGGCATTTTCAAAAGGACATGATTTTGAACTTAAGGGCAAACACTTTTCGGGCGACTCGCGTGCGAATCGCGTCATGTGGATAAATGAGTGCTGAGGAATAAAAGGACCAAATACCGAAAACCGGCGACTTGTGGGGCAACAAGTTTTGCGTGGACACGTGTTCTTCTCGCCGAAAGAGAGGGCAGAATGGGACTTAAGCCAGGACACGAGTCCTGGATGTCTATATATCGAGCAACCACCCCCGATTGCCGGGCTATTCCTGAAGTAGTTTCTACGTGCCTGGCCATTGTTTGATGTGGATTTTAATTGAACTCAAGTTGATGCCTCGATGGCTTAACAACAGCGACAACCGCAAATATTAAAAAATAAAACCGAGACCATGCACAAAAAAAAAAACACATAAAGAATGAAAGAAAGCCAAGAGCCCAAAACATCAACAAAGGACCTGCGGTGGGTGCTTCAACAGCAGGGGTAAAAATTATAGCAGCGGTAATGGGGAGTATTAAAAAATAAATCAACAAAGGAAATTAAGATCCTAGGTTAAATATATATTCACAAGCCATGCTATAAAATTATTCAAATCAATATATTATGATATTATTTTTTAGACCTAAATCCATTTAAAAATCAAATAAAATTACTTTTGTGACCCTTAAAAATTTCCTATAATTTTTACCTCAACTGTATGTCCTGGCGCAACAAAAACACACGTTGAACTCATTAAAAAACGCTGAAGGGCGGAAGGACATCAGGGGGGATGCCAAAACGCATATGTCACTCAAATGAGGCGAAGGATAACGCCGTTCCGAGGTGGTTAGGGTGGACCTTGTTGTTGTAACTCACTTGTCAGGACCCATTGTTAATGACAGGAGCCTCTACAGGCCGAAAAAAAATCTGCAATCGCGCTTTAATTTGAATTTGGACGCGAGCTTGATAAATGATTGACTGCACTTCATGGCCAACCCCGCAAAGTCACTTGAGTCAAGGTTCCTTTTCTCCTTTTTTTTTTGCTTTTCCTCCAGCACTTCCTGTCGCGGTTTCCTTTCAGCAAATTGTGCAAAAGAAAATATGAAAAAAAGGCAGTCGGTTTTACAT